AGTCATCTTTGCACCTGACAATCCAGGCAACACAAAGTGCTGGTAGAAAAGAAAATCGTACCAAGTTAAGATGCAATCAAAGATACATACTTTCAACATTTGAAGTTAAGTACTCGTAATATTGTTGGGGAAATATTTCCCAAAGCCCATAACTTTGACCCAGTTTATCAGTTTATACTGTCCTGACTGAGCACAGACACCTGCAACCTTGGCTGCTGTGCTCTCAGTGTTTTGTCTCCCTGTTCCTGCCTGTTGGCGTCAGCTGATAATAATAATAATAACAACAGATTTAATTTGTTAGCGCTTTTACAGGTGCTCAAAGNGAGGTGTTATGATTCTATCTTGTTATGCAGCATGTTGATTGTTCTCTCTGAACTAGCTAAATATATGGGTCTGGGGTAGAGTTCTTCAGAATTGATTGTGGCATCTCAACCGTGTGGTCAACTCGTGGCCTGTGACATGTCTTGTGAATCTCCGGCCGAAGCTCCAAATAAACCATCAGTGTTTGCCATCAAGCTCCAGCTCTCCTCGTGTCTCTCTGAGTCCTGACTCCAATTGCTTCAGATGTTTCCCCCACAAATATAACTTGCATTAAAGTGGCTTACATGATGAGAACACTATTACAGGATGACTGAAGGTTAAGTACATAGCTTTAATTAAAAAAATTGTCAAAGATTGTATGTTTGCTTCAATTCAATACAATTAAAATAATGTATATTTACACAACAAATGTAATTGGTTGGTTGGTTGGTTGGTTGGTTGGTTGGTTGGTTGGTTGGTTGGGAAAACAATGAAAATATAGACAACAAAAGTAGTTGGGTGGGTGGATGGATATACGGATGGATGGATGGAAAACAATTTAGTCAGCAAAAGTAGATGGATGGATGGATGGTTGGATGGATGGATGGATGGATGGATAGATGGATGGATGGATGGATGGATGGATGGACGGATGGATGACACACCTTTGGAGCATGAAATTGTACATTTTTAGATGGGTGCATTAAATTATAACATTCTTATAACTGTTGCCGGTTTATTGAGTGCACCTTTCTTAAAGCAAAGCATTCACCTCTATGATTCAATGCAGTTTAACCGCACCACCTCCTTTGAAGTATACATAAAACATAGGATTTATTACAAGACTGTTGCATTAGACTGCATTCGATTTAGCTGTACCTAATGAGCTGACAACAGAGTGTGTCGTGTACAAGGTTAACATTTCGTCCTGGGAGTGGTGGTGGTACAGAAAAGTTTGGAGAAACAAAATCAAAAAGGTTAAAGAGCATTGATGTGCTCACTAAATCCTGCAGGTAGAAGTAAAAAGCAGGTCTCTAGTCTTGTGAAAGATTTTGCCGTAAGAGATTGTTATCGTGCTGCTGAAACATGAATCTAATGATAAAGAAACTGTTCTGAAGTCAATGGTGATTTTAAAACTGGAAAGATAATTTATCTACTGCAATTGTAGAATATCCAAAGTATATTTAGTGTATACTGGTTTGGGGAATGAAGATAATGTGGTGGTTGTGGTTGGTATAGAAAGGTCAGGATGTCAATAAAATATTTAGGAATTGTCCTCTGAGGGCCATAAATACAGTTTGTGCCAAATGAAATGAAAATTGCACCAATAGATGTCGACAACTAAAGGTCAGCAGTGAACGCTGCCACTAGTGGAAATAAATATGCAATCTTTATTTGTCTCATTGTCTGAGTAACTTTATTGTAGTATTATTAGTATTGTTGTCATCACGATGACTGCCATCTGAATTATGACCTTATCTCGTATATGTCATTTTATTCTCACATCATGTTGTTTTGAATGTTTGCATTTCAATACATTTGCAGCCAAACAGAAGAGACAGAAAGAAACGTTTTGAAGAAAAGATGGAGGTGAAGAGAGAGATCGAAAGCTAAACAAGAGAAAGTTAAAAAGAAGTAGGAGAAGAAATCGAAGGAGGAGAAATATGAGAGAAGACAGAAAGAGATAGGACAAGAGGACTCTAAAACTGACAAACAGATTGATCAGCAAGGGCACCGAACAAGGGCGAGGATTACAAGGAGTTGAAAGGCAGCGGGTGAAGGAGTGGAGAGGAGAGGTAAGGAGGCACACCTCAGTGTTCAGAGGCCACCGTCCTGGTAAGAGCGCTCCTGAATTATTCATGGCTTCTGGTCTCGCTGTGCTGGCTGCAGCGCAATGCTCACTGCGGAGAATAAAAAGAAAGAATTCTGACTAGAAAAATAAACTACAAACAGTGGAGCTGTGTGAGACGTTCTGAGACCGTTTTAATTGCAGTTTTTTCAAGTTCATGATTTGATCGTATGCCGCTGGAATAATGAATAGTCCGCTTGCATTCTCTACTATTATCTTAGATTTTTAGTTGTATTTTCTTTGACCCTCTGCTGGATTTGTTTTTTCGGATCATGAAAGCAATGGTGGAATGTAACTAAGTACATTCACTCAAGTACTGTACTTAAGTACACAATTGAGGGACTTTACTTTACTTTACTTGAGCATGTTCACATTACTCTAAACTTTTAGTCCACTACATATTGTTGGCAAATGTTGTACTTTTTACACGGATTGAATTGCTTGTTGATTTGCAGATTTGATTATTAATACAAAATATATATCAGAAAATACATATGTTATAGGCTACACGGTAGTATATAAAGTAATTAAAATAAACATTACTTTTACCAAGTGCAAAATGAAGGTGATGAACACATTTCATCAATATCTTTTTATAGAATGATAACAAATTGTTTATGCTTAAATGGACCATTCTGCATAATTGTATTTTTGGTATAAAGTACATTTTGTTACCAATACTGTTTTACTTTTACTTAAGTACAATTTAGAATGGGACTTTTACTTGTAACTGTTTTTACACTGTAGTATTGTTACATTGAGTAAATATCTGTGTAATGAGTACATACTGTACTTGATAAGGCGTCTGGATGGTGGAAAACAATCTGCTTCACTCCCTGGTGCTGACTCATTCAAAATAAGATGTCGAACACTATGAATCGTGTTGTTGATTCAGTATATACAAGTGTTATTCCATTAAGGATTTTTGGAGGACACTATAGGGCAGGAACTTCCAGAATATAATAAGAAATAATTTAGACACACACATACAATGGAAATGGATACATACAAGGATAAATACAGGAACAAGTGATCTCAACAAAATGTGGACATACTGTATTATTTGCTCTTTTGCTCCTTGATCAATTTTTAATATTGCTGGGACAACAAATATATGTATCTCTCTCTTTATGGTCATACCACCATTGAAGATACTAAACTGGTCAAAGAAAGTCTCTGAGTATGTTTCAGTAAAAGGACAGATGGACAAAAACTCCACTGAGAAAAAAGTGTATGCAAATGAGAGGATTCTTTTGAGAACCTCCAAGTAGAAAAAATATACTCCTTTTGTCATCAAATTGCAGGAAATTGGGTTTAGAAAAAGATCGGCCTGCCTTCTCTCACAGGCCTGCTGATTTCCACGTGGGGATAATTTACAATCCAAACACGTCCAGGACTCTCCCCCTCCGTCGCCACAACAGTGCCAGAATTGTAATATGTTTTACTCAGTGGGGGGAAGGATTACATGAAGGAGGCTTGAAAACAGTCCTCAGTTACTTTGGGATTTCAAGGGGTCTTGATCCCAATTTGCTCATCAGAACCTTAGGGATCAAAAGACGGCGGGAAAACAAAAAAAGTCTTTGCAGGAGAAGATCACATGGATATTTTTTTCGTCTCTCTTTCTTACTCCTATATCACACCGACGTCTCTTATCTTTGAAATGATCCAGCGGGTGATCTCATTTAATATATACAGTATATATATAAAGACTGGATGGAAAGTGAAGGGTAGGCTAAGCCTTGCTAGTCTTTTTTGAATGAAAACAGACCCTGAGCCAATCTCCTCTAATCATTGCTGGTTAATATCCTTTGGTATGTGGCTGTTATAGTGTATAGACTTAGACAACATGAGCATCTGCAACACTGCTGCAATAGATTTGACTCACTTGCAAGCTCCTGCATTTCCTCTTTCTCTTTTAATTATTTTAAATTTTGGGAGAAAATGGCAATATGAATGTCAAATAAAACAAAAGCTCAGCTATAGTATTTTTTAATGGCTTGACAGTAGTCTTTGTGGTAAATGGAAGCATACTGGTTGGCTACTTTCATACAGTCTTGTGTACCCTCTGAGCTACAACAACATGTATTTATTGACACAGTTCTATCAAATGATATTCCTGCTGCCACCATAAAATATTTCACTTAATTTACTTAATACAGGATACCTAAGTATTTGTTGTTTTGCTGTGTTATTGAGCTTATCATCCAGAGAAAGAAACCAAATGTGTCCCTTTGGGTGCCTGTCTGAAATACACAAACAAGAACAAAATATGGTGTAAGTGTTACCTTTACATTGAAACATGCTATTATGATTCTTCTCAAAATACTTATTGAAGTACATAGTTTTACCATAAGGGTTCCAAAAGATGAGGCAGGTGAATACATTTCATTTTAATTGGATGATATGGCACTTTGCACATTGAAAGATTATGTACACATGACATCCTTTTAGATCTATTAGCAATATCTCTTCAGTTAAAACTCAGTTAAACTATGCATTATTGCTATTAATTGTTTGACACAAATAACCGTAACATTTTGGATACTAAAGTACACCAAATTCACTTAATCCTCCTCTGAATGTTGCTCATATAATTAGGAGGATAGGCTTCTTCTGAGACTTCAGTTGTCATTAATACATTTTATACCATGAAAACACAGTGACTTGTCAGCAGCGTAGTCTCTTGTACTTGATAATGAAGAATAGCAGGAGCCTGGACTCTATGCGACGTGCCATGTTTGCCAATGGATCAGTTTGTAATACTAATGCTTCAGTCAAGTATCAACCACTAACTCTGCATCAAAAAAGATTAAAGAGATTTGTGCAGCTGATCAACTAGGGAGACGGTTTAATGAGTCTGGTTTCGTCTGTGTACACTGTGCAGAGTGTGTCCCAGGTAATCTGTGAGTTTGCAACAAAATAGCATCTTTAATCACAACATCAGGCGTGTGTGATGTTAGGTTTCATTTTTCCCTGCACACCAATTTTGCCACATAGATAACAACATATGTGTGCTATCAGCCAGTGATTCCTGTTGATGGCTCTGCACCATATTGGCAGGAAATACATGAAGAGAAAACTGTGAAGAGTCTTGGCTTGCGAACGAGCACTGCACTGACTCATCGTTGATTTTGATAACGGAAGCAGAAATAGATCAAACATAATTACAGCTTTACTTAACTTCAACCTTTGTTATCTCCCTTTGACTGTTTTCAAATAACATGTATTTACAGGCCTGAAACTGAGTGATGTTTGTTGAGTACACAAACTGTCACATCAGTGACTGTATTTAGCGAAATACGGTTGGAGATGGAGATGGATATGTGTCAGATTCACAACCTGTTGATGTGTACTCTAAAAGCACAAGAATAGAATATGAACTAACTGTCACTGTCTTTCTTTTTACAGGACGGCATGGGCAAACTAAGAATAACAGAGAAGGGCCTGAAACTGGAGGGGGCCTCTGAGTTCCTTGAACCCCTCTATGCCAAAGAAATCCAGTCCAAACCAGTAAGTCATTCACAAAATACACACTTATGCTCTACTAGTTTTCATTTATTATTGACAAACATTAGAATTTGATATTAAATAAAAGTTTACATGGCATAAATCATTCTAAATTGCTTGATGTGTATGCCACAACTAAGCAACACAGACTGACTAGAGTGTAACACCCGATGAATAACATTTCACAGAAGGTCCAATGGTTTGAAGAGATGACAGTCTAATGACTGTAAGTGTGAATTGATTCTTGGAGCCAACATCTTCATAGTGGGAAAAAACATGTGAGATAATCCTGTTGAGACTCACACTGGAAGCACCAAGCTGCAAGAGATTCCACTTGCATTTACATCTTGTATTGATTCCATTAAGTGTCTAAATGTTGCTCTAACAAAGCGTAAAGGTTTTTAAAGCCTCCCTAACATGCATTCTAGGGAAATAAAAGGCACCGCACTGCATGTTCTTACAGCTGACAACCATTGATCCATTTCCGGCCACATATATGGTCAGAATACGGTGTCAGTAGACTGAGCCAGAAGTCCAAAAGTACTCCATCTATCCCCCATGTGGGAATCTGAAGCCTTCCAAGGTCAGATGGAATATGTAGTCTGTGGAGTTTGCTGTGGGTTTGCCATTGTGTCCCCTCTCAGGAAAACTCCACAGGGAGTAGGTTATTTCAAACTGAAGGAGCAATAGTTCACATACAGTACAAGCTTGTCCCGGATGTCATAGTGTCCCAAAGGCCGAGCCAAATTACTCTGCAAAGACAAGTTATTTTAGCTTCTCGTGCCTGCAATCCTGTTTTTAAGGTCACCGTCCAAAAATTTGAACCATAAAGCTCTTACATACAGCGACTGCTAAATCAGCAGCAAAAGCAGGGTCTTTGGAAAAAAACATGGCTTTGCTAGCTTGGGATTTTTTTTTTATCGAGTTAATTACTGCAATTTTAGCCTGGATTTATTTTAGCATTAATTATGGTTTCGTGAAAGAGCAGATTCCAGCAAAAGCTCAATCCTTCCAGTCATATTTACAATCTAAATCATGCCATGTCACGCCAAGAAATGTCAGGTTATTATAATATGTTCTGTGCCATGCCATGTCAAAACAAAGGAAGATGTGTCATACTGTGTCACAACAAGGCTTGTCTTGTAATGTGATTTCATATCGGAACATAACAAGATATGACAAAACATCCTAAAGTTTTGACAAGCACCATATGGCTCCATCAGTCAAGACAAGTTATAGGTCCCTTCGTATGTTCTGTTTACAAAATTAACATTCTGATGTGCTTCGTGCTGCCTTTACTACAACTACAGGAGGAGTATCCAAGCTTAGAGATGTTAGAGAAATGGAGTGATGGGCACGATAAAGTGATACGCACACTCTCCCTATATCTCTGTGCTCTGGCAGTAATAATAGGCAGGTAGTGGACGATTGGTTGATAATGCGAGAGAGTAGCATGCTTTATCTCTGCTGTCTAGGATCTTACGCAAGCTTAGAGAGAAAATGAGCGATGGAGAGCGGAGTGGAGCATAAGGGAATGAGGTAAAGACGAGTGAGTATGGAGATGAAGATGAATAATGAGAGAGAAGAAGAAGAGCTAGTAATAGAGACAAACAAAACAGAGAGACAGATGGACAAGGACTGAATTAGAATGAGAGAAATTAGAAGCCAGCGAGCATATTATGACAGGCGGCGATGTGAAAGAAGCGGCCAAGTCTGACACAGACTCAAACAAACACAACATATTTGCAGTGTGATATCATTACACAGTAAAATATTCATATTTAAATTAAGTCCCAATTCCACCAAACCGTACAAGAAGCAGCTATGAATGACTGCAGGATTCTACTGCATTCATTTGGCACTGTGTTTAGACGTTTTGGTGCAAGCACACTTATGAATAACAATTAGTATCGAGATCTTCTAAAATATTAAAACGGCTTATATAGCCAGGGTATTTTGCATATTGAAGAAGGCTGCAGGTTGTGTTAGTCATTGCTCATACACCGTAATGTACTTATTTATTATTTTTGTTGTTGGTGCCAGGATTTCTTCTGACAAAGAAAATAAGCCTAAATAGGTATGGAGAAACAGAAGTAAAGGAATATGAATCAAAACACAAAAGGGCAAATAAAAGAGGATATACAAGATACACTAACACAGAATTAGATATCAACAGAGGAGAGAACAGAGAAAGTAATTGATGGCTAGTATGAACGTTTTAGCCGAGCAGTTTGAAGAATCTTAATACCAAGAAAAAAGACAGACTTACAGAACGATTAAGAAAAATAAAACATGGAAAGACCCCTGCTGTGTGTTGCAGTAATTCCTCTTCATTTCCTTGCAGTCTCCTGATACTTCCTTTATATTTTCTATTTAGTCTTCTATTCATGCCTCTGATCTTTAGCCTTTATCTTTCACTTACTTTAACTTTTTTCAGTAAAGCAGTACAAGTCTTAACTATACTAAAGAATCAGAGAGACTATCTGTTATCAAATGATATGCAGTATGATACATTTTAATCACATCTCCTGAATACTCTTATCAATATCTCAGTTTTAACAAAGCTACCGACTAGCTGGTAAGCATAGTGGGGCATTTAGCTGTTAAAGAGACACAGAGTTCTCCTTTTTAGGAGTAAGTGTAAAACCAAAGATTAATGAATCAAAGTAAAATGACAGAAAAATAAATCCTAGTGAAAGCTTATGTTTCACTATACCTGCCGGATGTGTACATAAAGTTAGCTAGCAAGCAATTAAAAAGTTGATAATATGTCAGTGTTTTGTTCTCGGCTTGCTCCTGCCACATAAGGGCAAATGGCTTCCACTGCCATTGATTGGTAGTGACAGATATGTTGTGTTTTATTCAATAAGTGAATAGATTTACTTTTAAAATATATGATCGGTAAATCAATTGATTAATCAACTCCACCACATATCAACTGTTTCTTACAACGTCCTACAATACCTGCGTGCCCTTTAACAAAGAGAGATCAACACTAAGCCGAGAAAATATTTTGATAAGACCAAACAACATTTCTGGAAAGCCAACCTGTTGATCTCAAATGTGATATTTTAGTTCAATTTATAAGGTTTAACTCAACCAGTGAGTTTTTATATCATCTTTGAATAAGTTCTGCCTCCAAAACATATTTATATATTTCCACTCAACATCATTCTCCATGTGTCTTTTCTCACTTCTCTTGTTTTTCCCTCACTTGTATTCCTCTCTCTGTGAGAGGCCTCCTGCTGGGAGTAATACGGTCTGTTGCATAAGTAATGAAGAGAAGAGGGAGACATAGTGAATCAGAGTCACCACAAAACAACAAAACAAACACTTGTACTGTACACAAGCAGCCCCAATGGACATTAGCCTCTCTGAGGAATACCAAGGGGAGAGCAGAGAAAAAAGAAAGACGGAACGATAAGATGGCTGCTCTGGAAGCATAAAACACACTGTGCCTTGTATCTCATAAGACTAGTATGAAATATATACATTTCATGGTTTCTCATAAAATCAAGGTAGTGCCTGGAGCAACAACTTGTCACCTTTAAACACATTTACCGTCATTTTTTAACATGCAAGTTAGTCCAACTTCATGTGAGTTAGGTGTGTTAGGTGTTAAAAAAGATCACTCGTCACCGGCTTGATCTTCAATATCAGGATACATGTATTTATTGCGACAAATAGTTCCCAGAATAGTATCCTTGATATGCTATACAAGAGAGCGTTACAGTCACAAGATGCAGAATAACGGTTCAAAGCAGTATTCTATATGCTTAGTTCAGATTAGCTAAGGCCTGCGTAAGCATTAGACATCACAGTCATATGTCTATCTCCATAGAGGCTGAATCATCATGTTAATCGTTGTCACATAGCTATCTAATGCCTAAAACAGTGTGTCCTGGCACTCTTCTAGGTAGTCCTCGAGACACCTAGACACACACGTGGACGTGCGGACAACAGCCTGCGGAACGTCGAAGACCCGCTCAACGCTGCTTGCAGCTTTAATTATTATTATTATTATTTTAATACATTGCGATGGGTCGGAGAATCGGAGCAGCGGGAGCGGTACTGCAGTCTCTTTACCGCACCGTTGTGACGAAAAGGGAGCTGAGCCAGAAGGCAAAGCTCTCTGTCTACCGCGCCATTTTCGTTCCTACCCTCACCTATGGTCATGAAGGATGGGTCATGACCGAAAGAACGAGATCGCGGGTACAAGCGGCCGAGATGGGTTTTCTCCACAGGGTGGCTGCGTTTCATGCAATGCGCCTCTGCGTTTCCTCTCACAATTGTGTGTGTGAATCTTGCGCGTCTCCTCAGACTGGCCGCCTTATATCAAGAGAAGCGTACCGGACCCTCGCGGAAACCCTAGCGGGGTCGTCTCGGACCAACTCACCGTCCCTTTTCTTTCAAACCCCGAGAGAACGACCTTTGACGATTGGACAGGCGGCGTCTGTTGGCTACATGCACGTTTAAACCACCTCAAAAGTGTATTACAACGCCCCCAGTTTTTCACGCGCAGCGTTACATAAGGTAGGGGTAGAAAGAGGCGAATAGGCACCAGCCCAGCGCCTCCATCGTCAAGCGTCGTCTCTCGGGGTTTGAAAGAAAAGCACCAGGGGTGTAGTTGGTCGAGACTGACCCCCTTCAGGGTTCCCCGGGGTCCGGTCGCTTCATCTATATTAGGAGGTAGACCAAGATCCAGATGGGAACCAGAGAAGGGTCGACCTGCAGGACTTGTGGAGGGATCCCTCCGCGGGTCGCACCGTAGGATTGATCCCACGGGCTTGGTGGAGTTGACCGAGGAAAGCTGCGCTTCCTCCTCGCCGAAGTTGAGCTCAGGAGGGACTACGGCTTGAAGAGTGGAATAGGGA